CTTTTAGGATGTTTAGTGGCATCCTGGGCCTCAACCCATTAGACATTAGCAGTACTCTTCCCCAAGTGTAAGAACCAAAAATGTCTGCAGATATTGCCAAATATCTTCAGGGGCACAAAATGGTCAGCACTTAAGAACCATTGGTCTAACTGATATACTTAATATTTTGGACTTACTTTTAATAAGATAGATGTCTTCCAATGAGAGAAACTAGTAGGGAGAAGAAGGCATCTAATGATCACTGGAATACTTATAACCTAGTGAAAGTCTTCTGGTCGAACTAATTCCAATGGGTTAAAAGACTACTCTATCACCTTTTCCTATTTACTGGCTGGCAGACATCACAGGGAAAACACACAGAGTTTCCAACATAGTAATCCTAATTTAATTAACTTTGAGTAATCTTAAATGAATCCCTAATATATTAATCACTGTCTTACAGATAATTTATGGCACTTCAAAATAAAAGCTGAGACATGGTTCAATGAAATGCAGATAATAGGAGTAAATTACCTCTTCATAAACATCTTAATTCAAAGTAGTCATACACTGAAAGCTTTGATCACCCAAGCTGCAAACAATCCATACAACAGCTGATTGTACCAGGCCTTTCTTCCTACCTATCTTATGTATCCTTCCTCCAATTTAAAGCTAACAAATTCATATAAGGCTTATCATCTTCCTCTAAGGAAATTATGACTGACCAATTCCTTCTAAGATGTAACTAACTACTATCTTAGGGTAATTTTCACTTATGTGGGAAAATCTACACCTAAATATTCATATATTCATACATGCTACCACTTTCCTTCACCTGTTTTCCAATTCTAGCTTTCTTTTTTTAGTTACTTGGATGCAGTTGCAAGCCGAAAGAAAACACCACAGCCAAGCAGCACAAAGGTACTGGTAATATTAGAGGATAACATAATTTTTAAAGCAATTCTGACATTTCAAATAACCAGTATTAACCACGTAAATTCAAGTTATGTTGCTTTTCTGTTGTATTTAAAAAGTGTCATTTCTATTTTTCTTTTTTTAATGTTTATTTATTTTTGAGAGAGAAAGAGCATGCAATCAGGGGATGGGCAGAGAGAGACAAAGACACAGAATCTGAAGCAAGTTCCAGGCTCTGAGCTATAAGCACAGAGGCCGACGTGGGGCTCGAACCCATGAATCGCGAGATCATGACCTGAGCCAAAGTTGGACACTTAACCGACTGAGCCACCCAGGCATCCCTGTCACTTCTATTTTTCATAGCAAAGTTAAAGCATGACAATAATATTATAAATTAAAGTAATAGGTAAGTCTGAGGGTAGGCTCAAGCTACCACCTGTAAAAATAGTTTTTTCCTAAGAAAATAACTACTGAGCAACAACAATGAAACAATTTTAGGCACAATTCATAAACTGAGGTAATTATATCAAGTGAAAAATAAGATTAGAATATCCAAAAACTTTCCAGTAGTTTAATAATATTAACAGGAAGTGGCAGGAGTTTCATTTTAGGAGCTTCAAAGGTATCTGATTTTATCAGTTCTCTTCTTAATTCTACACTGTTACTAATCCAACCTACCATCTTCATCAACAGTAAGGTCCACAACTTCTGCTGCATTTTGCCTCAAGGGTTGAATAACAGTAGAGATCCTACTGCGGTTCCGTGGCTCCTGTGGCCGACTTGTATGAGAATTTGAACCTTGGCTCCAATGAGATCTGGAGTGTCCAAGAGTTGAACGAGACCTTAAATGACATCAATATTAAATTAGTAAACATAAAAAAAAGAACAAGAATTTTAGTTCTTAAGAAATCATAAGCCTTTCTTACAAAACATGTTGTGAAGTTCAAGTTGTAAAGTTTCTTCTCCAAGGAAATAATGGTAATAGAATTAAAAATTATGACTAGCACAATGCCTGGCATTCAATAAAACATTTGCTGAATGAAATGTTCAACAAATGTTCACCAACCAACTGACCTGAGAATATGTGAAATGATATGTGAGACCAATCACTGGTATAAAATACAGGATTCTGTTTCAAGAATGCTGCTCTCTTTTCAATGGTTATTTTGAATACTCACCGGGTTGTAATCCAGTATTTACATTTTATTTAATACCTGAAATTATTCACCACAGGTAAAGTAACAAAAACATCAATATGTTAAACATTAAATAACACCCACACAATCTTGTATGTTGAATCCAGACTGAATTTGCAAAACATGGCTTTGAGAGTCCTAAACCAAGATAAGTTTCCGGTATTGTCCTAAAAAAGATTCAAGGTGGGGCACCTAGGTGGCTTAGTTGGTGAAGTATCCAACTTCAGCTCAGGTCATGTTCTCACGGTTTGTGGGTTCAAGACCCATGTCGGGCCTTGTGCTGACAGCTCAGAGATTAGAACCTACTTCAGATTCTGTGTCTCCCTCTCTGTCTGCCTCTGTCCCACTCATGCTCTGTCTCTGTCTCAAAAGTAAATAAACATTTGAAAAAAAAATTTTTTTTAAAGATTCAAGGCACCAGAGATTTTCTGGGATTAGGACAGGTAAAGATAGTTACAGCTAGTTTACTAGTTTGGTAGTCATAAGAAACATCACTTGTTTGAGCCACTTTATGCTTTGTTTGTTTTTGAGAAAGAGAGAGACAGAGAGAGCACAAGCAGGGGAGGGGCAGAGAAAGAGAGGGAGACAGAATCTGAAGCAGGCTCCAGGCTCTGAGGTGTCAACACAGAGCCCAACACGGGGCTCGAACCCACAAACTGTGAGATCATGACTTGAGCCAAAGTTGGATGCTTAACCGACTAAGCTACCCAGGCACCCCCACTTTTTGCTTTTAAAGCATGTAACCACAAACCCTCAACACCTAACACTGATATCATCTTTTATTATGTGCATCGTGTTGTATTCCACTAAATTATCTCTAAGTATTAAAAAAAAACCTCAAGGATTCACTATAATAGTCTGAACTGAGGGTTCAGAAGGATATTATTCAAGATTCAGGAGAAAAATAAGTGTTTTAAAAAGGTGGGGCTTATGAGTTGATTTTTTTCCTTTTGCCCAAACTGAATGTAAAAACTGCTTAAAGATTATTGTCAGGGGCACCTAGCTGGCTCATTTGGAAGAATATGAAACTCTTGATATTGGGGTTGTGAGTTCAAGTCCTACATTGGGTATAGAGATTATTAAAAAAAAAATTATCTTTAAGAAAAAAAAAAGAAGCTTATTGTCAGCTTGTATGGAAAGGGTGAACCAGATCCGTTAATATATAGTCATCAGGGATGTAGGCTTGACCACTCAGAAAAGAACCGGGGCTGAAAATGAATTGTAGAGCCCAAGAATTTAGAAAGAAGCTCTAATTATAAAATGAAATTCTCAAGTAACCAGGAGTATAAAGGTGAATTCCGGAGACAAAGCAAAAAAAGACGCTGCATTCCAGCAAGAATTGTGGAGATCAAGGCATGATAGTAAACAAATGTCTCAGGATGAAATGGTTTTGGATGAAAAGAGAGATCACAATTTAAAATTCTTGAGAAACCAAGAGACTGTAATGAGACTAAATAGTCTATTATTTCTGGGAGGCTCTTAATGAACGCATTAAAGTTCCAGGTCCACTTTGCAGTTCATGAAACCTTCAAATATTATACTAAAAACCTGATGTATAAGGAATGGTTTTCACAGAGGCCTTAGTGGTCCCTATGATTAGTGACAACTGTCAAATCCTAAAATTAAAGAATCTGAAACACAGATGCATTCTTGCTCTCTCTCTTTTTAAAGATCTTGTTTTTAAGCAAACTCTACACCCAACATGGAGCCTGAATCCACAACCCTGAGATCAAGAGTCTCATATTCTACTGACTGAGCCAGCCAGGAGGCCCTGGATGCATTCTCAGAGAGGAAAGACCAAAAGCCAGCTAAACAGTGACAAAGTTAATATCCCGTGTAACAGTAAGGAAAATACGGGTCATGAGCACTGTGTGTCTTTTTCAAGATCGTGGTCCATTACTATGGTAAATGCATCTGCTTGAACATTAAGCACCTCCATGACAAGAAAGATCTCCAGTTCCACAAAGATAGGTCCTTCATTTCAGCAATCCTTGTAGCTCATAAAAACTGAGTAGTATTGTATCAAGCACTACGTACAGTCACAGGGTAACTGTAGCACCTACCATGGAGTACCAATTTTCTTGAGTCTAGGAAAATCATTTAAAACTGAAACAGATACATTACAGAGTGCTCTCTTCCATGCCATTAGAAGCGGTACACCAATGGAAAAGTACAAATGGAGAAGCACATTCTAAGTATGTTTGTAACATGCTTCCAAAAAAAAAAAAAAATTAATAAATAACACAAATTAAAACACAAAGAGCAAATGCATTTCTAAATTCATCCCAACACAAAAATTAAGGTTCATCCATAGATTAGTTTGGCATATCAAATGGAATAAAGGAACACTTTACTGCCTTTTGTATCAATATCTGTAATCATCTAAAGCACAAAATGAATAGTGTTATGGTTTCTTTTTTCCTTTTTCTTTCTTTTTTTTTTTTTTTGGTCAAAGTAATTCACAAAAGGGCAATATTACTTCCAGTTATTTATCAAGGAATGACATATTTTCATTCATTTTTTAGTTCAGGGTTTAGATAAAATTACTGAGTGAAGGACCAAAAAAATTACAAAAATATGTTTTATACTACATTGCCCTAATAGCACAAATTTCACTGCTATCAATGAAATCCTGAAATAGATTAGAACAAAAATGAATACATAAATATCAATACTCCTTAATATTTTTCACTACTTTTACTTTTAGTACCATTCCTAATACTTATGTTTTATTCACATCTAAAACTCAAAGAAGCTCATGAACTCTGAATCATAAAACAAACTAAATTTTGTAAAGCACTAAGTAAAACTACTGTTTATCTGTAGCATTAACTCTTAACTCCCACTGTACATTTGCAGTGCTTTTCTGTTGGTCCAGGATATATGATCCAGGGAACAATTTTACTTTATTATCTTCCCAGGTGAATCTAATGCAACCTGGTTTGAAGACCACTAATCTGGTTATGCTCAAATGAGGTCTCAAAAAAAAAAAAAAAAAAAAAAAAAAAAAAGGGTAAAAGAATCCAAGTATCTGCAGCACAAATGTTTAAATATTTACATTTAAAACTTCACATCTGCAAACAGGAATTAAAATCATACCGATAGCTTTCTCCAACTGTTACAATCTCCACCTCACTGTCAGTTGAGGTAACATTAATTTCTTCATTGGCAGTGACCTGGGGAGTGGAGGAAGCTTCTATCACCACAACATCTTCATCAATACTTCCTGGAAACAAAAAGGAAAAATGTTTTAAACTAACAGACAAAAACTTTTACTTTGAAGGCTATGAAATTCATTATAAAAGTAAAAATCCTACCTGTCAAAAGAAAATTTTTTTAAAGACCAGAGCTAAACATACATAGTGAAAACAGTACTTACTCTCTTAATCTGTGCATCTTCATGTTTATTTCCTTTTATGATTTGTTCTTTACAACTTTTAGTGGTTTCCATATATTTTAATTTTTTTTTAATGTTTATTTATCTTTGAGAGAGGGAGAGACGACAGAGTGTGAGCTGGGGAGGGGCAGAGAGAGAGGGAGACACAGAATCCGAAGCAGGCTCCAGGCTCTGAGCTATCAGCACAGAGCCCAATGTGGGGCTCGAACCCATGAACTGTGAGATCATGACCTGAGGCAAAGTCGGACACTTAACCGAATGAGCCACCCAGGCACCCCAGTGGTTTCCATATTAATTTGTATGATCTTATATAGAAATATTAATCCTGTAATATCTAAAGGTATTAAGATCTTATATAAGATATTCACATTCTATAACTCTTTAATATCTAAAATAAAGATAGTATATTTGCTGTTAATTTTACCCAAGACAGATTTTATTTATGAGATATGGTATTCTTTTAAGAAATACAAAGCAGCTTTTTTTTTTAACTTAAAGAAATTTTTTTCTAATGTTTATTTATTTTTGAGAGAGAGCGCAGGGGAGGGGCAGAAAGAGGGAGACACAAGATCCAAAGCAGACTCCATGCTGTGAGTACAGAGCCTGGTGCAGGGGCTTGAACTCACGAACCATGAAATCATGACCTGAGCTGAAATCAAGAGTTGGCCACTTAACTGACTGAGCCATTAGGCACCCCAGCTCTTTGGTTTTAAATTATGAAATCTGTCGTTTCTTTTGTAGTTCTTTTCTAAATTGCTCTAAGTTTGTAAAGTGCATCCTTATTTGGAGGACAGATACATCTATAGTTTGTTCAATGTGTTTCCTTAATTATTGACTTCATCTAGAACTAATTTTTGTTTATGGTATTAGATAAGATTATAAATAGAATCTGGCACTCACTCTCCATGGGTAATTAGCTATCCCCAACCATTTACTGAAAAATTCATTTTCCTCTATTACATTTTGATACCTATCTTAAATCTTCTTACGTGTTTTAGGTTATATTTTAATGCCATCTATTCATCCCCTTTGACAAAGATTCTTATGTCAGGGTAATGCTGTTTTTTTTTTGTTTTTTTTTTTTTTTAACAGCTTCTAAGATATGACTTTCATACTTTAAAATTCACATTTTGGGCTGCCTGGGTGGTTCAGTTGGTTGAGCATCCTATACTTGATTTCGGCTCAGGTCATGATCCTAGGATTGTGGGATCAAGCCCCGCACTGGGCTCTGCGCTGAGCATGGAGCCTGCTTAAGATTCTCTCTCTCCCTCTGTCCCTCTCCCTGGCTACCTCTCTCTCTCTCTCTCTCTCTCGTTCTCTAAAATAAAATTAAAAAAATAAAATATTTAAAAATATGTGAATAAAAAAAAGGATAAAAATAAAATTCACATTTTGTCTCAAGGAGATACTTGCACACCCAAGCTCACAGCCAAAAGGTGAAAACAACCTAAACGTCCATCAATGGGTGAATGGATGAACAAAATACTGTATATGCATACAATGGAGTATTATTCAGCCTTTAAAAGGAACAAACTATCATATGCTACAACAAGAACAAATCTTTAGGACATTATGCTAAGTGAAATAACCCAGTTACAAAAAAATTTTAAAATACTGTATTAATTCTACTTATGTGTGGAACTAAAGCAGACAAATTAATAAAGTAAAGTGGTGGTCACCAGGGCTTAAGGGAGAGGGGAAAAGGGAGTTAAGGAGTATAGAGTTTCAGACTGCAAGAGGAAAAGTTCTGGAGATTATGTTTCACAACAATGTGGATATACTTACTACTACTTAAATGTACACTTAAAAATGGTTAAGAAGGAGGGGCGCCTGGGTGGCTCAGTCAGTTGAGCATCCAACTCTTGATTTTGGCTCAGGTCATGATCATAGGGTTGTGGGATTGAGCCCCATATTGGGCTCCACACTAAGCATGGAGTCTGCTTAAGATTCTCTTTCCCTCTGCCCCCCTCTCCCCTACTTGCGTGCTCTCTCTCTAAAATAAAAAAAAAAAAAAGTTTTTAATGGTTAAGATGGTTACACACACACACACACACACACACACTAGTCCCGTTCCATTTCTTCCCTTGCTGTATTTTTCATAAATGTGGCACGGTCTTTTTTTTTTTTTCTTTAATCTTTTTAAAAACTTTCGTCTCTCTTCATTACTATTACCTATCTACATCAAGCTCTGCCAAGAGTTTACATGTCATGTTTTTGAAAAGAATTTCCCCATAAGAAGACTGAGAGCTAAAAATTTCACCCATTTTAAGCGTATACTTCACTGATGTCAGTAAATTTACAGAGCATAACCATCACCTCAATCCAATTTTAGAACATTTCCAATACCCTAAAAAGATTCTGTATGCCCTGTTACAGTCAAATCATCATCCCTCCATGTCCATGATACACTCCCACAAATGACCTGCATTTTGTCATTATGGTTTGGTTTGTATTTTCAAGAGTTCTATCTAAATATGGAATCATACATTACATATACTTTTGTGTCTGGCTTTTTTCATTCAGTGTATTATTTTTATATTTATTCATGTAGTTCTGTGTATCAATAGTTCATTTCCTTTTATGGTTGAGTGGTGTCCTTTCGTGTGAATATACCACAATTTGTTTATCCATATTTTTGTTGATGGACTCTAGATTTTTCTCACTTTTGGCTATTACAAATAAAGTTGGTATAAACATGAATCTGTTAAGTTTTTGCATATATACTTTCATTTCTCTTGGGTAAATACTTTCAAATGTAATTTCTGGGTACTATGATAAATTTATGTGTAACTTTTTAAGGAACTGACAAATCATTCCCACCAGGAAATCGAGGGCTCCAGTTTCTCCACATTCTCACCAATCATTATTATTGTCTTTTATTATAGCTAGTCTAGTGGATGTATAGTGATATCTCATTAATTTTCATTTCTGATGTTGAGCATTTTATTCAAGTGCTTATTATTAGTCACTTTAATGAAGTGTTCAGCTCTTTTGTCCATGTTTAACTTGGACCTTGGTCTTATTGTTGAGTTGTAACAGTTCTTTATATATTTGTAATACAAGTCTTTTATAGATACATTATTTGTAAATATTTTCTCCCAGATGGTAGCATGACTTCATTTTTTCCCCAGTATCTTTTGAAGCATAAAAGTCTTTAATTCTCGGGGCGCCTGGGTGGCTCAGTTGGTTAAGTGCTGGACTTCAGCTCAGGTCATGATCTCACAGTTCGTGGGTTCAAGCCCCACATCAGGCTCGGTGCGGACAGCTCAGAGCCTGGAGCCTACTTCAGATTGTGTCTCCTTCTCTCTCTGCCCCTCCCCAACTCATGCTCTGCCTCTGTCTCTCAAAAAAAGGAATTAACGTTGAAAAAAAAATTTTTTTTTAAGTCTTTAATTCTCGGGGTACCTGGGTGGCTCAGTTGGTTAAGCGTCCAACTTTGGCTCAAATCATGATCGCACAGTTCGTGAGTTCGAGCCCCATATCGGGCTCTGTGCTGACAGCTTGGAAGCTGGAACCTGCTTCAGATTCTGCCTCCCCGCCCCTCCCCCACTCACATTATGTGTCTCTCTCAAATATAAATAAACATTAAAACAATTTTTTAAGTCTTTAATTCTGATGAAATCCAAATTAGCAATTTCTTTTATGCATGATGCTTTTGGTGACATATTTAAGAAATCTCTGCCTAACAGAAAGTCACTGAGAATTTCTCCTATATTTCTTCTAGAAGTTGTATAGTTTAGATCTTACATTAATTCTATGTTAATTTTTGTGCTTGACATGACATAAAAGGTCTAATTAATTAATCTCTTTTGCATATGGACCTACAAATGGCCAAATAACATTTGTTGAAAAGACTAGAATAATTCTATTTTGATACCTAAGTAGACTCAGGTTTTCTTAATTCTTCAGGATTATAAAATCAAGGCTAAAAGAAAATTCCTGAGATTTGGACTGATTTGGCATTAAATAACACCAATGAAGCCCTGACATCTCTATAATATATTTTTTCATCCAAGAATATATCTTGCCATCTACCAATACCATCTTTTATAAATCTCTAGGAAACTTGTAGGGTTTACTTTATTATAATGCTAACAAATGCTATATAATTTTCTTCACAGAGGTCAAATACACTCCTATTAAGATTATTCTTAGAGGGGTGCCTGGGTGGCTCAGTTGGTTAAGCATCCAATTTCAGCTCAGGTCATGATCTCACAACTCATGAGTTCGAGCCCCGTGTTGGGTTCTGTGCTGACAGCTCAGAGCCTGGAGCCTCCTTCAGATTCTGTGTCTCCCTCGCTCTCTCTGCCCCTTCCCACCTTGTGCTCTGTCTCTCAAAAATAAACAAACATTAAAGAAAATTTGAAAAAGATTATTCTTAGAGACTTTGTTTCTCTTGTAAATGAGCTCTCTTTATTCTTTTTCTTTAAATTTATTTAATCTTGAGAGAGAGAGAAAGAGAGAGCGCACGCGTGGGCAAACAAGCACGCAGGAGCTGGGGAGGGGCAGAGAGAGAGAGGAGGAGGGAGGGAAAGGGGGAAGGAGAAGGGGAGGGGGAGGGAGAGAGGGGGACAGAGAGAAAGGGAGTGAGAAAGAGGAATGGAGGGAGAGGGGAAGGGGTGGAGGGAGGGAAGGAGGGAGGGAGAGAGAGAGCGAGAGAAAATTCCAAGCAGGCTCCACACTGTCAGCACAGAACCCCTGAGTCCAGGCTCAAATTCACAAACTATGAGATAGTGACCTGAGTAGAAATCAAGAGTCAGATGCTTAACTGACTCTGACACCCAGGCACCCCAGTTCCCTTTATTGTTCTTTTCTCCTAGTATGTAGGT